AGCATATTAGTATAGAGAAAATGGTAGAGTAGTGGAAGTGTGAAGATCACGAAATACAACTCTTTGATGAACATGAGGTTTATCTGGCTTTTGGTGTCTCTGGCTTTTGGTGTGAAAGAAAAAGATATTGAAGGAATTTAGTAACGAAGTTGAAATATTTAAAATGAGTCAGCATGTGGAAGAAGACGTGCTGGGTCTGTTTTGCATAATTCTAGAGATTAGAACTAGTCCTAATCAATAGAATCTTGCGAGATAAAGATAAAGAATAAGCCCGGTGGTACACGCCTGTAATTCCAGTACTCAGGGAGGCAGAAGCAGGTGGATCTCTGAGTTTGAGGCCACTCTGGTTTGCAAAGCTACACAGGGAAATCCTATCTTGAAAAACAAAAAAGATTAAGAACGAATTTTCCAGTGATTAGAACCCTCTAGAAATGAGAGTGGAAGGTTATACAGTAGGGAGTTACCACTGGAAACCCTGGGAGCTAATTTTTTCCTTGTTAAAATTTCTAATAAAGGACTTCTGTAATTATATATTGTTATAAGACATTTTCTACTGTAAAATTGGATTTGGATTTTATATTCCTTACAAAGACAGAACACTTTATTTGGCTACTTATTCACTTATAATATTGGTTGTCAATTATTAGTCTCAATATTTTTTATTTCAAATTCTTTAAAATGTCGCCTTACTATGTAAGATAAGACTTAGGATGAACATAATCTGCCCCACAAGTAAACATTCAAGAAAAGTGAATATAACTGAAAGTAATTTAATACTCCACAGACATTGAATCTCTGAAGTGGAAGAAAAGTAAAACATTTTTCCAAGTTACACATGGACTTATTAGGCATCACAACTTGCTCTTAATTTAAATGATTCAGTTGTAAACCTTACTCAGTTGATAAATTCTTAGGGTTTGATATAAAAATATTAGCATGTTTGATCATAGGGTTGGTCATAGGCTGCATTGTTACTTGATATGATTTGAAATTTTTAATAATATTATTCTTTGAGAATTTCATGTAATGTATTTTGATCATGTTCATCCTCCTTCCCTCAATTTCCAGACCCACCCCACCACACCTGACCTCTGTACCCACTCCAGTTAATATGTTCTTGTTCTTATCTCCCCCACCACTACCCCAGCTCGCTCTCTCTGTGTCTTAAACCTAGCCAGTTTGTATTTATTGTTGCTGCATCAAGGTCACACCATTAAAGAAAACTGGCTTGCTCTCTCCCCTCAGAATCAAATGCCAGTAGTTTCTCAACTAAGGCTGGTATTTCATGGCTCCCTCCCCCAGTCCATATGAGATTTTGTCTGGATTGAGCTTGTACAGGTCTTGCACATGCTGTGGAATTGTTCATACATGCAACTGTCCTGTTTTCTCCAGAAAATACTGTTTGATTGAAGCTGTCCACCACCCCTGGCCCTTACAGTTATTACCCTGTTGCTGAGGACCCTGAGACTTGAGGGGAGATAGAAGGGGATGGAGATATACGTATATCATCATCCATCCATCTATCCCATTTAGGGCAGAGCACTTTGAAGTCTGTTATTTTCTGTGCTCAAATCAGTTGTGGATCTCTTGTTAATTTCCAAGTACTGCAAGAAAAAGCTTCTCTGTGCAGTTTAGAAATGCACAGATGTGTGGGTGTAATAAATCATTAGTTATTTTAATGCTATATCCACTTAGCAGAATAATAGTAGTAGATTCTCCCTAGGGCATATGACCTATCTAGCTGCTGATTGTTGGCCTCACTGGTTGTTCCAGTATGGATTCCATCTCGTGGAATGGGCCATAACTCTGGTCAGAAAAGTATTTGGTACTCCCATAGCGTCTTGTCAGTACTGTACTAGTAGGTATATCTTGGTAGGCAAGTCATTATTGTAGGCGACAGGGTGCACAGCTGGCTGAGATTGATGATTACTTTTCTTCTCCAGTAATGTGCATAGCATCTTCCAGCACTATGAAAGCTTACCATTGGCAATGAAGCTTTCAGTCTAGTACTAGATAGATTTCTTCATGTTCTGTGACTCGGGTATGCGGTGTCTTTAGCAAAATAATGTTATTTTCAAGTTCTGATCAGGATAACCAATAACAATGAGAATAGCTTTCACACTTTTAAAACTCCTAAATAATCCAGTCTTAAGTGTTGGGCCTAAAATACTGTAGTTGCTTAACAGAATTCCAATGTGAATGTGTTCTGGGATGGCTAACTTTAGAATACACAGTAAAGTAATAAAAAGGTCATGCTTCTAATTAATATCTTTGAGATTAAAAGATATCAAGCTATTCTATTGAAATTCAGGAAGCTAAAAGAAGACTATACTACACACGTGATAGAGGAATGATGTGCCTAAAAGTTACAGCCCAATAAGCAGAGAAAATGGGGAAATAGGGTACTCTTAACAGAGCAGGAACTTGGAGGCAGAAGCTGATACAAAGGCCATGCAAGGGTGCTGCTTACTAGGTGGTTCCCTATGGCCTACTCAGCCTGCTTTCTTATAGAACCCAGGACCACCAGCCCAGAAGTGGCCCCACTTATAATGAGCTGGGCCCTTCCTCATCAGTCACTGGTTAAGAAAATGCCCTACAGGTTTGCTTGCAGCCTAATCTTATGGAGGCATTTTCTCATTGAGGCTCTCTCTTCTCAGATGACTCTTAACTTGTGTCAAGTTGACATAAAGCTAGCCTACACACTTGTAAATGAACTAAAGCCTTAAGTGTTATCAAGATAATGTCCTGTATTATGATTTTAAGTGGGTTGGTTAACATATATTAGGAAAAGAATTAATCTTCTAATGTGAAATTCATGTTGAAGCCTGAGTGTAGACTGTATGACAGATAATAATGGATGTTCTATGTGATCTGTGGCCAGAGTCAGAGTTGCACAGAAAAATGTGGACAAGTCAAGATTAGACAGTTTTAGAAAGTGTGAACTATTTATGTAACTGGTGAACTGTATTGTTCTCTAGTCTGTTACGTACAGATACAAATTATGCTGAGTATGTTGCTCCTCCAGCACTACTGCTCTGAAACCCTTGTTATTTAGTAGGTGGGTTTTGTGTGTGCCTTAAAAAGCTAGTTATACTGAATATAACTAGCTTTTTTGGAGGTAGTTTCTTGTAAAATTATTTTCAGTTTGGCCATGTGCTGCCTATTTGTTTTTGGGTTAATTCACAGACTCTTCAGAAGTTGCTTTGGACATAGACGAGTTCTTCACTGGTGTTCTGCAGCCTGTAGCTTATCTTTTACTACTTGGTGGGTTCTTTTTTCTTCCACCCTTTTCCACCCCCTTTCTTCTACCCTTTAAACCCCTAAGAGAAAAAAGATGGAGAGGAAAGGAAAGAGATCCCTGAATAAAGTCAGGGGCTGGAACTGGGGCAACATTAGACTATTTCCTGCTGATTATGGGAATCAGGTTCTTTGAGGCAAGTCTGATCTTCGAAATCAGGATATCTAATTTCATCTTCTTGTTTCCTCTTTGCGCACAACTACAAATCAAGATGACCAGTAACCAGCCAATAACACTGCCTCTTGGGGCCCTAGCATTTTTATATCCTCTGAAAAGTGCCCAGAATTCCAAACATCACACCATTGCAGAAACTATTTGCAGTTGACAAAATCATACCTCTGCTAGAGCAAGAGGCAAATCATAGTCAGCTGTTATGAAGAAGTCCCATGTCCCCATGCCTGGGATTAAAACAAAAATATATCCTTAAGATATTTGTGTTCATTTTTATAAAAGATTTATTTATTTATTTACTTTATATATATGAGTGCTCTATTTGCATGTACACCTGCATACCAGAGGAGGGCTTCAGATCACATTATAGATGGTTGTGAGCCATGTGGTCACTGGTAATTGAACCCAGGACTTCTGGAAGAGCAGGTAGTGCTCTTAACTGCTGGACCAGCCTTTAGCCCCAATATTTGTGCTTTTTAAAGGAACTAAAATTTCAAAATTCTCACTATAGCAGCCTGCACTTTATGCTGTAGTAATTGTCTTCCTTTTTTTCCTCCCTTTTGCCACCTTCTTGATCTTTTGTAAATTTTCCATAATAGATTTTGTGCTTACATAGTTTTTTGTAATGTTTATAAGTGAGACCTAAATGTGTACAATATATAGGGATTCTTTAAAAAGAAAACTTTAAAGAAAAATTAATTTGTGTTTCAGGCAATCAAGTTTTCTGGCTAGAAGTACTCAGAAGTTTGAGCACTTAATCTGACATTCATAGTTAGTATTTAGGTTATGTCTAAAAGTGCTAAGTTCACTGTGAGGGGCTTTGATTATTTTCTCACTACCTAGTAAAATGCGGCTTGGAGTCTTCTAAAACAAAGTATTCAGTTGAATTACTTTATAAATTGAATTACTGTTTTCTAGTTTGGAGTATAGGTTATTAAACTCAGAATAACATCTAAACCCTGGTATTTTACAGTATTTTAGGTACAGTATTAATGATTAATATATTAATTGTGTTAAATAACATTTGCTTTAACCAAAATTGGTTTTTTAAAAAGCTTTTATAAAATTATTAAGATGACTTTGAATGCATCCTTTGGTATATAGGAAAATAGCTGTTCTTTTAGGGTATAAGTTTTAGATGCTTATTTTCAGAGTTTGCTCAGTTTGCCTTAAAGTTGGATTTTATATATGGTCACTTAACTAATCTTTCTGTGTACTGTATCCATTTTTAAACTGTTTTTTACCCAGTAGATTTTCACATAGAAGCTTAGTATGGAGTAGAATATCAAAGCATTGGGTTATGTTACATTTTTAAAATATCTGAGCTACTTCTTACATTTACCGTATTACTGTTCTTTAGTAAATAAATACTTCCATGTAGCTGTACTAGAACTTGCAGGTGAATGACATTTCAAATCTTCCTCCCCCAGAAACAAAGCTGAATGAAGTGGACATACTGTGTACTCAATAATGACCTCATAATGTCTTAAACATATGCTAACCAGAATGTGTATATATATGTACTTTTTAGAAAGAATCTTCAAGAGGGAGACATAGAGACAAGGAAGACATAAAAATTGTTAAGGAGAGAACTCCAGAAAGTGAAGAAGAAAATGTAGAGTGGGAAACGAACAGAGATGGTGAGTTTGAAAATCCTTGCATAGCTAATAGAATTTTAATTATTCACTTAGCCTCTTGTGGGTTTTGAGATACCTTTCAACTGTGATCTTCATGTTGCTTCAGAATCCTGTTGTAGTTGACTAATGGGTTAATATATTGAAGGATTTATTTCTCTTCTATTCTGTGTAAGAGGTCTTTCTCTTACTCTATAAATTCAGTGTATCCCATTGAATTTGAAACCTGGCTTTCTTCGTTCTCATCAATTTAGTGCATTTATTATTATATGCTCCCTTCTAAACCTTTGGTTTTTCTTGTATGTATAAGGGGCAGGGTGTTGAATATAGGCTCATATATTTGAATACTTGGTCCCCAGTTGGTGGAACTATTTGAGAATTAGCAAGTGTGGCTTTGTTGGAGGAAGTACTGTGTCACTGGGCTTTGAAGTTTCAAAAGCCCATGCCATTCCTAATGTCTGTCTGTCTGTCCTTCTTGCCTATGAATAAGAATGTAAACTTTCAGCTACTGCTCCAGTGCCGTGCCACACCTACTGCCTACTGCCATGTTGTCTTCCCCATGATTGTTGGTTTTTCTCTTCTTTCCTGATTCTTCCCTTATTTGTTCATCATGTAGAACCACTTTTTTTTTTTTTTTTTTTAATCATTACAAGAGAAGAAAATGCATGAAAGTACTTTGGTAATTTTGTAGGCAGATTCATTCTAAAATAAAGTATAAAACCCCAAAGCCACAAAGATTTGAATACATAAAAGTTAAAAATGGTTTTATAACTAACTGAAGAAATTAAAGGTAGAAGTTACTTACACCAGAAGAAAAAACTTGCCATATGTCAGCATTAGTAGAGATACCATATAAACATGAACTGTCACAGATATTTAAGAAGATACTTCTGTTAAAAAACTCATGACATTCTAAATAGGTAATGCCTAAGAACTAAAAATGGCTAGTAAGTGTTCAACTCTACTGCAGAGAAAGGCTCACACGAACAAAGAATTGTCTACCCATCAGTATCATAGAAATGAAAATACTAATGTTTGTAAGTGCTAGTTTCCATTGGTAAAGTTGTTTGAGTTCAGTTTGGCCATAGTAAAAACAGAAATTATATTTTGATTCTGGCAAACTAGTTTGAGAAAGTTCATAGAGAAATACTTGCACTCCTGAATCAAGGCAGTTGCCATGTAACCATGTGTGTATAACAGCAAGGCTGGCCACGTGAGCTGTGTGTACTTAGCTTGTGAAATGCTTTACAGATGCTAAAATGCAGATAGTTGAGCTATGTGTATGACATGGAGAGCTTGTGTATATGGCAGTGTTTGTAGTTAGGGGTTTTGTTCATTTCTTTGTTTTGATACAGGATCTCCTTGTGTAGTTCAACCTGCCTTCAAACTAATAACCTTTGCACCTCAGCCTTCCCAGTGCTGGTATGAAAGGTGCGAGCCAGTATGCCTAGCAGTTCCATCGCTTAAAATGAGAGTTTCACGTCTGCAGCACTAAGCTGCTCTTTGCATTGCCGATGCTGTGAGGGTGGCCATTGAGGAGAATAAAGGGAACTTCGTATTTCTCTTTGTACTCATATTTACTTGAGACTTTAAGTAAAGCCAGGCCTGGTGATGCACACCTGTAATCCCAGCACTCTGGAAGGCAGAGGCAGATAGATCTCTGTGAGTTTGAGGCCAGCCTGGTCTCCAAAGCAAGTCCAAGACACCCAAGGCTACACAGAGAAACCCTGTTTCGAAACAAAAACAAACAAAAAGACTTTAAGTGAGATTGTGTAAAAAAAAAAATTCTCAAAATATTTAGTTCTCAGTCCTTATTTATATTCTTTAAGACCTGTTTTGCTTTATTAGAGTATATAAATGTTCTTAAGACTTGTACCCATACTAGTAAATTACTTTATAGGATAGATGTACCGACTTCTGTTCTAACACTAGATCTCACCTACAACTGTACCAAACAATGCTGCAATCAAAAATGCTTTACAACTCTGTTAGAAGGCATGTTATATCGTTTACGGCTTTTTCTTTTTGTTTCTATGAACTGCTTTGTTCATGTCTTTTATCTGCTCTTCCATTACTTAATAAGAACCTAGTTAAATAATGTTAGCCTTTCTTTACTGGCATCTATTTTTTTGTTATATAGTTTAACTTTTTCTGCTATTAAATATACCATGGTCGTCATGCATTTTTCCAATTCCGAGAAATCATACTCCATACTCAGGTAATGAACATACAGTTACTGGCCCTACCCCAAGCTAGAATGGACAGTTGGCATTGTAATGCATTTGAACTGTGTGCAGCAATCTTATCCATTTTCTTCTATTTAACGTAATCAAATGGTCTGGGCGGTGGTGGCATGCACCTTTAATCCCAGCACTAAGGAGGCAGAGGCAGGCGTATCTCTGTGGGTTCAAGGTCTACAGAGTGAGTTTCAAGACAGCCAGGGCTTTGTAGAGGAACCCTGTCTCAAGAAACTAAAAAAAAAGTAATCAGGTGGGATTAGGTTTAGTGATTTTTTTTTAAGTTCATTTTATTATTAACCTCTGTGTGACAAATGGTCTAAAGCGCTACAGGTGTAGTGAAAGAACATTGGCAGTGGCCAAGCCAAGTACGGTCAAGGGTTAGCATGGAGGTCAATGGATCCCTTCTTCCAGGTTTCTTGGGTGAGGGGTTGAGTGCCAGTAGCTACTTAGAATACCTGTGCCCTGCAAGAAAAGATCTTTGTGTGACTCCCCATCTTTCTTTCTATCTCCCTACCACACCTACAAAACAACAACAACAACAACAAAAACACACTTACATTCCACTCATTCTTTTCATCAGAAACAACTGGACATGAAAGATAACATCAGATCTATTGAATGAGTGGTTCATTCTGATCTGATAATTTAAGTCAATTGAAATGAAAATGCTCAAACATCTTACAATTAACATTCATTGGTGTTAAAATTAGTTAACTTTCCTTCTAGATACAAATCATTTGTCTCAATAAAAAGGACAGATTTGGAGAATTAATGTTCCAAATGCCTGCTGGCTTAAGGGACCTTAGAAAAGAGTATACGGCAAGGCTGTAGGTCTCTTACCCTGTGTGAACTATGGACGGCTTTGGTGTCCTCATTGTATAGTTGAGTGCTTTAATTGTGACTTTTGTTTTGCTTTTTAACTATTTTTTTCCAGAGGTGTGGCCATAGGCAATCCAAATGCTCCATCAGTACTTATCCCAGCTTGAACTGTAGCTATTAGAAATCTCTTGTAACAAAACCCAAGTATGTGATAACCCTAAGTCACTGTCAGAAAATATAGAAACCTTAATATTAGATTTTCAGAAGGAATTCAGTTCTTCACAGAATATTATTCTAATGAAAGAATACATTGTTGAAATTTCTATGGATATTAGCTGGAAAATCTAAGTCTCTGTACATAATTATGTTTAACAAATAATGGAATTGTATTTTAAAGACTCTGACAATGGAGATATTAATTATGATTATGTTCATGAGTTATCACTGGAAATGAAACGTCAGAAAATACAGAGAGAATTAATGAAGTTGGAACAAGAAAACATGGATAAGAGAGAAGAAATTATCATTCAAAAGGAGGTATGTGTATTGAAGTGAACATATATTAAATAGACATGGATATTGGTCACAGAAATCAGCTCCATGCTGTATCTTAGCTCATACTAGGACAGTGATAAATTGATAGCTCCCCACATATCAGCTACACCATAAAAGATTAATCATTTAAATCTTTACATGACTTTTAAGTTAAAATGTTTTTGCTGTTAAACCAAATTGACACTCCCATTGCCTGATATGAAATGGGTTCTATACATGTCAGGCCCATGATATTTCTAGATTGCCCTGTCCACTTTTCTAAGGTATGGAAGTGGAATTCATTTGGAAATAATTTCTGATTTTCCTAGGAAATTTTGAAAAAGTTTAAAGTGCTTTCTTGGTATCTGCATGTGTTTGGGCCATTTAACTAATGTAAGTTGAAAGTGTGGGTTGTGGAGCAATGATGGGACTGCTCTGGCTTTTAAGTTTTACTCAGTTTTTATTTCCCAGTAACTATTTTTTTCCTCATGAGTTCCTGAATTGGCTTACCAAATTACTTTGACAGGTTTCCCCAGAAGTGGTTAGAGCAAAGTTGTCTCCATCACCCTCTCTGAGAAAGTCCAGTAAATCACCAAAGCGAAAGTCCAGCCCTAAGACATCTTCAGCTGGCAAGAAAGAGCGGAAGGCTGCGGTGGTGGCTTCTCCACTGTTGGACCAGCAGAGGTCAGTAGGGTTATCTCAGCAACAGCACTGCTGAACTTGATGATAGAAAGTGACTCTGGTACCATAGACTCACCTTTCCTTCCTAGAGTTAAACAGAGGCCGTGAGCATCTGCATCACATCCACACACGAGAGTTTTCTAACTCTTGGATTTTGTGTAATATGTATGCTTATTTTTTTTAATACTTTAGACAATGTGTATCATTTTTACAAAGTCAATACTATTTTTATACATTGAATTGGAACATAAATATATTCTGCAATACATTTCTTTGTTCAGGTAGCTTTTTTTTTTTAACATGTTTTAACTTTTACTGTGTATACTACATATTTATCTTTCTGTTGTCCAATATATTGCTTTTTAGTTTTTAAGTATGATAAATATATACAGGAAGTATTCTACTTATTTCTTTGTTTACATGTCAAGTTATTAGATGCTTTAAAGTCTGTACCCAGCAGTATATGTATTGATTAGAATTATAGTCATCAGCTAAAGAAATAACAATAACTAAGAATAATGAAATATAATTACATTAAGGAGCATAAGGAACAAGACAGGAGACATTTAAATATCCCTCTGTTATATATGTTTGAATTAAAGTACATATACTAATTTTTATTTTTATTTTTTTAACTAAAAACTTACTGTAATGTTGATAGATTATTTGGTAAGTCTTCTGTAGCTGAATTCACAATAAAGCTTGGTTTTAAACCCCAGGTGCAGTGTTTGCCTTTGTAGTGTGCCCACCTCTGAACAAGCGTGCATATTTTCACTCACCCACACCTCAGCCCATCCTCCTTATAGATGCTGTAAGAGGAATCTAAAATGAACAATTCCATTTAATTTTTATGCTGTTGAAAAGCTGTTTTTTTCTTCTCAAAATGAAACTCATTCTTTTAAGAATGACATTTATGGTTTGACCTTTTCTGTCTTGTCAATATTTTTATTTAATGTCCTGTGTGCCTACTTCTATATTTAGTCCTGCAGGCTTTAGCTTAAATTCTAAATTTCCTGTTAGGTTTCCCTATTTTTCCCCTGTCAGAATTTGTATAGATTTCTCTTCATCCTAATTGCTGTCTGCCTTCTATCTCAGGCGTGGCATGTATGTTTTAGAACCTTTACATCAAAACTTGAAAATTAGAATCTTGATGGTTCATTTTTCCATCTTCCCACAGCTCCTCCAACAAGTGCTCCTGAGTCCTCTCTTTGTTCCTGGGCCTGAGTGGTTTCTGAAGGGGTGTGAAAGAGGCTGACACTTAGATTGGTGTCCGCTATCCTGACTTGCTCTTCTTGCCTAACTTGCCTAACTATATAGCTTGTCCTCAGTACATCCATTTGTCCAACAAATCATATCACCCAATCAGCCTTTGTTTTCTTACTTTCTGTTTATGCATTCTTTGAAATGTATTCTCTTCATTGAGTTTTTAATAACTATTTAGATATAAAGGGTTAATTTTAATCTGTTTTAAGTATAATCTTTTACTATTTATTATTAGCTCATCCTTTGGTTTATTGATTTAAATTTTATCACAGTGATTTAATTGCTCTATTTCCTATATTCCAATATGTTGCTGACCTTAAGATGTACCTTTAAACTATTGAGTGAAGGTCCTGTAAAACAGCACTTTTTCTTTTTTAATTTGAGACAGTCTGATGTAGCTTAGGCTCATCTCTTTAAAGCTTTCTTGAACTGATACCAGGTCTTATCCCTCCTTTCCAAGTGTGGGGATCACATGGATGTGTACTAACACACCTCGTGCAAGTATAGTGTTTATTTTTAATATTTATTGTGTACGGGATGGTGAGTATGAGCATACCACGGCATATCATATGTGGAGGTCAGAGGACAGCTTTTGACTTCTGATAGTCATTTGGTCCTTCCATCACATGGGCCCCCAGGGTCAACCGCAGCTCATCTGGCTCCTGCAGCAAGTACTTTTACCTGTTGATTTACCTTGTTAGCCTTTGTGTAGCATCACAGTGTCTTGAGCCTCTCAGATAGTGTGTGTGCGTATGTGCGTGCTGCTGCTAGTTAATGAGGGCACCGAATGTGTTAGGCAATCACTGTATCAGTGAGCTACAGCTGTAGCCTGAAGGCAACCTACTATAATTTCATTGCTGAATCATACTATAAATTGTTGGGAGATTTGTGAAACTCAGTTGGAATTTCTGTTAACAATTGAATAGGCTATTTCAACCAATGCCAGTGAATCAACTGAAGACAGATAAACAGACTCTTTGGAAAAGATGTAATTACTGTCAAATTAAGTCATGCTTTTCTTTGAAAGATGACTTACTTTCTTTGATATTCATTCTAAGATATAGTATGATAATATCAAGAGATGTGTATTACAATGTGATTTGCAATAAATGTACTGTTTTGACTATTTGCTTTTTAATTCAAAGTTTTCTGTATAGATATTTTTACAAAAAGAAATATGAAATGTGTTTAAAGTTGTTCAAAATAGTTACAGAATGATGTAAAAATGGTAAACCTAAACAGTGGGCTTTAGTGCCATGAGTAGGAAGTGTATTGATTTAGTGTTGCTAAAAGATAACCAATAGACTTTAAAATAGTAAAAGATCTTACTGATTTGGAAAACAATACAATATAATAGAATTTTTTTTCTCGACTCTGTGTTTTTAAAGGTGATATGAAGAAATTTGAACTTTTTTGCTTTTTTAAATTTGAGAGTTTCATACATGAGTGCACTCTATTTGTACCATTTCTTCTTCTCCTCTCTCCAACTCCTCCTATGGTCTCCTACCACCTCTTGAATTCATGACCTCTTCTGTAGTTATTTTATACACAAATACACCCCCCCCCACATACACATATATATTGGTGTTGCCCTTATTTTAATAAGTTCTTTAAGACATCTATGGTTATGATAATAGCTAGATCCCAAGATATTAGTAATTTAACACAGCAGCAGTTTCTCATGCATATAGAATCAGTATAGGTGTTTCTGTGCGGGGGAGATGGCTCAGTCACTAACGCGCTAGCCTGTAAGTGTGGAGACCTGAGCTTGATCCCCAAAGCCCACATAAACAAACAGGCATGGTGGTGTGCACTTGTAATTCCTGACTGTGGAGACAGAAACAGGAATGGTCCTGTGAAATACTGGAGTTGGGCAGCTTTCACAGGGATGACACATGAGACTGTTCTCGAGCCTCCGCACATGTGGGTACTAATGCACCCTCTGACCATGTTGAAATTTTCTTGGACTTTCAAGAAATTGAGAGAATGGAATGCATAAGGAAAATAACTGGATATTTTAACTCAGTGGTGTACAGTAGCCTGGATGGAAATCCTTTAGTCAGTTTCAGAGAATGAATTCTAAAGTGTGGTTCAGCACTGGGCCAGAAAGATTATTGAACATCCAGCTCACCTCTATTATATGGAGCAATGTAGAAGTACGTTTTTGTTTTTTTCAAGAATGGCTTCATGTTTTATCTTTAAAAATCTTATCACAGATGATAAGTATTGTCATGATTATCTTGAAAGTGAGCAAATGTTTAGAAATAGAGACATTTATTACCATTTTGTACATAAATGGCTTCTGTAATTTCATAAATAATGTATTGAGGTTTTTGGCTACCATGGTTGTTGGTAGAAGGCAAGGATGCAAAGAGTCAGTCATCAGATTTAGGAATCTCTTAACTTGTTTAAGTGGCTGTTGCTCTCTACTCTAAAACAGAGGGATATGGGCCAAGAGAGCTCCATTTTCTGAAGGCTAACCATGAATCAAATGTTTTTATGCTTTTAATCTTTGAAAAATATTAGTAGGAATTCTGAGGACTATGCTATCCATTATAATTACATATCCAGTGAATTTTGAGATTACAGAACTCAAGGTCATATGAAATAAGCTGCAATGAAAACTGCACCAGAAGTATGAAAACTAGTGGCTCCTTAAAGTCCTAAGATGACACTGAATACTGAGAGTAGATGGATATTCAAAACTGTCCACACAGAAAACAGGACTAAATTTAGATACTAGATTCATACAAGTAGCATATTCATAAGAATATTGCTTTGACAGGTTTGATTTGAAATTGAAAAAGATCTGTGTGAAGACAGTTTTTGGAAGAAAAGATTTTTCATGTACACTGAGATTGTTAAAATACGAAATTAGTAAAATGGTTATGACTTAAAAGAAAAATATTCAGCTTTAAGACAAGTTTGAGTTTCTGGCAGAAGGATGGGAATGGTATAGAAAGATGGGAATGACAGGAATTTGACTTGAGAGACCAAGAGACACAGATGTGGGCCATGCAGAAGAATGATTTATGTTGAACAGTTCATTGATTGCTGGCAGGTGTTGAAAAAGATTCAAGTCCTGGGCTTTGTAAAAATAAATAAATTTCAAGGGATAATGTCTTACAAGTATTGAGACAGAAAAGCTAGATCACCTGAATAGAGAAACAATTGTTTTGAGTCTCCTTTGTCTTTCTTATCTAAAGCACTAAATACTCTGAAATAGAGATCACTGACTAGCTTTTAGGGAAAAGAGTGTTAATGTGGAAATGCAGTTCAATTAAGCTTTTGTGCCAGTTACAAGGCCAAGTCGGCCAGGTTTAAATATGTAAGGGATTAAAGCCACATAAAACTATTTTAAAGTACTAAATGATAGTTTGTACCTCAATACCACTTATCAAGATATTGAATATTTAACCATGAAAGACAAAATTCCATATTTTTAGGAGGCCATCTGTGTGATCTCAGAGTTGGAAATGATTTCTTAAATGAGATTCAAAGATTTAGAAAAATGTTTAGTAACAGTATTGGGGAAGCCATTTTTAGATAATGTAACTAATTGTACCTTCTTCATTATGATCAAAACTTGTGACTGTGAACTTGATTAAAAAGTTTTGAGCATCTATTTTAGACAGGCTCACAGGGTGAGGTTTTTTTTTAATAATGTGATTTTCTAAGTTGCCTTTTGTTGTAGACAAATGCCTGCATTTTATCTGTTCATTCCAGTGAAACACTGTGAAAGATGCTGGTGTATATATGGCTGGGATATTGATTTGTAGTAACAGTAAAAACATTTCTGACCACCTCTTGGTACAGCCATATCTAATAGGAACAGCAAAAATCATAAAGCCAGCACAGCTGTTTGACAAAGGTCCAGCAAAGCTGAGCCTAGTGATGCAATCGCTGTGGTACAGTCTGCACTCTTGGCCTGGATCTTTTGTTATTTATCCAACTTGGGGATATTGGATTGATGGAATTTTTTTTTTTTTTTTTTTTTTTTCTGAATCATTTATGTACTTTCCCAGGAACGTCTTAACCATACTACCCTTCCCACTTTTAGGAAGATACCCTATCTGGGCCTTCTTGAAAGTCTTCCTTATCCCTTCCTTATTGGTGGGCTAGAGAAGTTGGCAGCAGATCTAATTAAAAACTTCTTCCTACTACAGATGGACAAAGAGTGGTGTGAATAAATGATAAAAGAATATTAAGACCTCCCTTTCTTAGAAAAAGTTTATTTATATGAGGTCACTATGGTGTCATATAACCCAGGGATAAAAAAATACCAAGATTAGACATAAAAATAAATTGTACAGTTCTATAAAATATAAATGATGTCTTATTTCAGAAATTAAATAATAACTGCATCAGTTTTGGCCTGAAGACTTTTCTTGGGCCTAATGACAACTAGCACTCTACTAAGAGCTTATAGTACACTGCTTGGGAAATGACAATAGGCCTGGGCTAGCTTGGATATTTTTTCTGTCTAGTGCCTTCGAAACTGCAAGAGCTCCAGCCTGGGAACAGGGTGCCATGGTTTGGCAAAATATGCCCTTGAAACTGCAGTATTGTTAAAAAGTTGGGTTGTGGCATTGATGAGGAAAATAATTCTGTTCTATCATGGTTTCTCCATGATAACTAAACTTATGACCAAGCAGAAGTTAAAATGTGTGTCCAAGAACAAAAATCTATGTTTTGGAACAACATGCTTCTATTCCTGCCTACCAAATTCTGTATAAATAAAAAAGCACCCAGACTGCCAGCCAGTCAGGATGTAAAAATCCCCTGTGCTTGACTCCTTCCTCTATTGCTGCTCTTGTATCCACTCTTCTTCAGGGCCTGACCTCACCTGGGGCTGGACTCCAGCAACCTCTGAATGATTTACAAATATCACTTCTTCCCTGTGCTTGAGGTTGCTTTCTGTAGTCCCATTTGTCTGTTTCTTTTCTGCACCACAGGTTTGCGGCCAAGAAATCTTTGCCAAGTTTATTCTCCTTCATGTTTTCTTCTAAGAATTTTAAATTTGGGGTTGTATGTTTTCTGTCTTTAATCCAGTTTGAATTAGTTTCTGTATGTGATACAAGATAAAAGTTCAGCTTTGTTTTTTGTACATGGATGTCTAGTTTTAATTGACAAGATATTCAAAGGAACAGACAGAAGTATTGAAGTATGTTAAAGATCTTTATAATAGTTATGCTGGTATAGTAATTTTTTCTTTTGTATTTGGTGTCTTCTACAAAGAGTGCTTTAAGACAGGGTCTTGCTCTGTGATAATGACTAACCTAGTATTCTTGAAGCACCGGCTGGCCTTGAATTCATAGCAGTCTTTCCTCAGCCACCCAAGGGCTGATACAGGCATCCATCACCGCAGCTAGTGATGTTTAACCCTTTTCACCTACTTTTGTACATAAGCTTTAAAAACAAAACAAAACAAAGCTTTTCCCTGAAACTCTTCCACTGTCACTAACTTCTCTTAGAAACTACTCTTTAGAATGATAGAGACCTAACAAGCATTGTTTTAAAAAGCAAACAGTAAATAAATTTTTTAATTCTTGGTTTTCCCCCTGAATATTGGTTATTAGTATACAACATAGTAAGAGGGCAAATAATTGAAAAGAATTGTTACTGCTTTTTAAAAACTCCTTTAGAATTATCCAGGTAGGGTTCAAGAAATACTGAGATTTTTAACTATAGCTTTGTGTACCTTCAGGAATTCAAAAAGCAACCAAAGTAAAAAGAAAGGGCCACGGACTCCCAGTCCACCTCCTCCTATACTAGAAGACATCATTCTGGGGAAAAAATACAAAGAAAAGTATAAAGTGAAAGACAGGATAGAAGAAAAACCAAGAGATGGAAAGGACAGAGGACGGGAATTTGAAAGGCAAAGAGAAAAAAGAGATAAGCCAAGGTAAGTAGAATTGTAAAGTCAAGACTCATGACGCTGCAGAAGCTGTGGGCCATAGGTACATGGCTTTTTAAAATTATTGTTGTTTTTAAATGTATATTACATTTAATGGTTCCCACAGTGACTTATGAGTTATACATTATTTAACTTCAAATTATTTTAGTTTATTTACTATAAGTGAAAATTGAAAATGATAACTGTATTAGATGTGTAGTGTTGCATGTATGGATGGCAGTGTGAGACAGATCTCCAGAATGTCATTCTACACATTTGAAACTGTATTCATTACATTGTATCCTCCCACACATAATTCTGATTGTGTTTCTGTGAATTTAATGAGTTCAGATTCCTCATAAGTAGAATCATGCAATCATGGAATACTTCGTTTAGTATAATGTCTCTGGATAATGTTTATCTGGATAATACTTCGTTTAGTATAATGTCTCATTCATATTGTACATGTAGCAGAAATCTCTTCATAAGGATGAGTAGTATTTCATATGGCACAAGTCATACTTTGCTTATTCATTCTTCCATGGAGAGCATTTGGTTTACTTTCACCTTTAGGTTGTTTTTAAATAGTACTGTATAACCACAGGCCTATAAATATTTCTTTGGGAAATCACTAACAAGTCCAGTACACAAACTTTTCCGCTGTTTTCATTTGAGGGTTATATTATCTTGTTGTGTGCATTTGCCAGGCCATGTGGAGATTTAGTTGGCATCACATTTGTTGAAGTGACTGTTTTCCCCTTTAATTGATTCTGCCATCTTTGAGGAAGGTCATTTGAGCATAGGTTTATGGGATTACTTCTGAGCACTCAACCATTCAAGTGCATGGTTCTGTATGTGCTCCCATGTGGAAGCATATGTACACGAGATAACACTCAAATTCATTAGGAAGGTCACTGTAAATATGTCAGTATCGTGCTTTTTAAAAAATATGTGTACTATATTTTGATTTCTGAAAGTGAAACCTCTAACTTCAATCTTTTTAAAAGTTATTTTGGCTATGTGAACTGTCCTATGTTTTTCTATATGAATTTTAAGATAAAATTTTTCTCTTGTAAAAATAAAAAATGTATTGGAATTCTGATAGGCTTTGGTGGTAGATTGCTTTCATTAGTACAAGCAGCTTTATAGGTCTAGAATCCATTAGCACACCTGACTCCTACTTGTTTCTTTTAGCAGCTTTTGCCACCTTGCTTAGATTTATTCCTAAGTATATTATTTTGGATACATTGTAATACGTTTCCTTAATTTTCTTTTTAGATTTGTTCATTGTAGTATGTAGAAATATAGCTGATGTTTTATTTTTTTTTTTCCTACATCTTTACTGAACTCATTTATTCTAAAAGGGTTTTTCTTTTTTCTTTCTTAAATTTCTTTTTTCCTTTTCTTTTTTCTTTTCTTTTTTTTTTTTTTTTTTTGTAGAATCACGTTTTCCTACATACAAGATACTATATCATCTACAAATATTTTTACTGTTTTTTCTTTCGCATTTTTATTTTTATTTTTCCGGCCTAATTGCTCTGGCTAAAATTTTATTCAACATACTATGTTGGATAAAAAGGGCACTCATGTTTATTCCTGTCTTATAGGGAAAACTTTACTCTTTCTCTGTTGAGTGATATATTAACTGTGAGCTTTTCATAAATGGCTTATTGATCTTCCTCATCATTATTTTAGGCAGGGCATCACTATATAGTTCCAGTTGGTTTGGAACTTGCTATTTAGGCTAGGGTGACCTTAAACTCACAGGTTTGGCTTAAACGCATGTGCTACCATGCTCATCTCTACTGAGGATTAGTAAATGGTGTTGAATTCTGTTGCATGTTTTTGTGTATTAATATTCCTGAGTGATCATTTTCTTTCTTTAGTTAATGCAGTGTACTGCATTAGTCATTTTTCAAAATTGTTTAACCATTCTTGGATTTTAGAAATAAATCTATGTGGTCATAATACGTGTACCTTTAACATGTGTAAATTACTTTGTAAGTACCTCATTGAAGAATTTTTTATCTGTATTCATTATCTTCCTGGTTTATGAGATTTGTGAAACACAAATTTTATGAGAGTCAGATGCATCCCTGATCACTTTTCAGATTAATGCTTCCCTTGAAAAGTATAATCCTTTATAGTGTCCTTGGTCTCTTTCCCTCTCTCTCTCTCTCTCTCTCTTTCTCTCTCTCTCTCTCTCTCTCTCTAACAGTTGGAATTGATAAAGATTTTAGGGAAATAGGGAGATGACTTGGTGGGTAAGAGCTTTGGTCTGCAAGTATGAGAACCTGAGGTCAATTCTCAAGTACCAACAAAAAGCTAGTCATGGCAGTACATGTCTGTAACCACCATTGTGGTGGGATCCTGAGAGCTCACTGGTCAGCCAGCCTACCTGATACAGTGATCTCCTAGGTCAGTGAGAACCTTTCTCAAGGCCATAAGACAGGGATTGACAGAGGAAGTTGCTCAGTATCTTGTTCTGGCCTCCTCGTGCATCTCCTCTCCAAAGAAGGATTTTAATATAGATTTTAATATGGGAGCTAAAGAGGAGGCACAGGAAAGGATACAACACTCACTTTCCATCACTCGGGCTTCTCAAGAGAGAGGCTAGTCTTTTCCTTTTGAATTTTAGTGTAATCAAAATTTTGAAGTTACACAAACAGGACAGACTTTTTACTTGACTTCTTCCATAGATGATACTAAACAAGTTACTTTTTCTCTAACATTTTTTCAGCTGCAAAATACGCATTTTATATATATATATATATATATATATATATAATGCATATATATGTATATATATACATATATACATATATTTATACATATCTATTTATACATACATACATACATACATACATACATACATACATACATACATATATGCTCCATGCTCCATTTTTCTACCAGAATATAAGCAGTGCATGTGAGAATCAGGGTCCAGTCAGGCTTCAGCCATAGTTGCTACTTCCTGTATTGATCTGCAATCATTGGTTGCTGTTTGCTAATTTTTTTTTTTTTTAAGAGGGTCAAGGAAGAGGGAGGATCTTTCTTATATAGCTCTGACTGTTCTGGGACTCGCTATAGACAAGGCTGGCCTAGAACTCACAGAGATGCACATCTGTTTCTGCCTCCCAAGTGCTAGGATTAGGCATGGGCTGCTATGCCTGCTGGTCATTGACTGTTACAGTATTATCAAAGAGAAAAATGTGAGAATCTTAAAATCAACATTTTTCTGAAAATTAAAAGGCTATATAAGAAAAAATATAGTTGATGATAAAGCCAAGATCTAATAGAAATGGGCTGCATGATATGTTATTAATTGCTGGAATTTTTGTGTGTATGTTCTTTGAGCCAGCCATCAAAAAATATTATAGATACTCTTAAATTATTTTTTCTTTTTAAATATTTTTATATTTATTTTTATTTCATACATCATGTCCCTACCTCTACTCCTTTTCCCTTCCTCTACTCCTCTTAGCCTCTCCCCAACCTCCTTTCACGTCCCAATCCAGGCCTTTACTGTTTCCCCTTTAAACAAAAAGAAGAAAAGAGCAGACCTCTCAGGGATATGAACCAAACACAGCATAACAAGTTACAGTAAGATTAATCACAAAGCCTAGACATATCAAGGCTAGACAAGGAAACCCAGCAGGAGGAAAAGGGTCCCATGCACAGATGAAAGAGTCAGAGCCTCCCCCACTCCCACTGTTGGGATTCCCACCGGAACAAAAAAATGCACAGTCATAAGGTATATGCAGAGGAAAGTTTATACAGGGTTGGTGTTTGTCACTTCAGTCTCTGTGAACCCCAATAAGTCCTACTTAGTGTGTGCTGTGTTCTCATGGTATCCTTGACTCTCTGGTTCCTACAATCCTTCCTCCCCATATTTTGCATGGGGAGCTTCCCCCTGGCTGTGCTTAGTATTTGGTTTTGGGTCTCTACATCTGCTCCCATCAGTTACTGGATGGCATCCCTCTGCTGACAATTGGGCTAGGTGTTCTATGAGTATAGCAGAATATAATTTAAAATATCTTAGAGTAACCCTAACCAAGCAAGTGAACAACTTTTATGACAAAAATGTGAAATCTTTGAATCACCTTTTTGAATGTAAATTAAACAGTTTATTGCAGGATAGACATGCCCTAAATGATAGCACTTCTGCTGGTCTTTCCATTCCTTTAGTCTTTGGATGGCAAACTTGACTGTGACAGAAGTGATGTTGTAGGTCTAGGCTCAGGCAGTCATGTTTTCATGCATGAATGAAATGCTGGGTGCCACAGCTCATCTCTTCTTCTTGGTCTTGCCACAGAAGGAGCAAGTATACTTGGTGTGCTGGCTAACTTCAGTTTTCTTAACCATTTTCTGGAGGGAGGCACCATAGCCAGTCCTATATTTCCCAATGATTCTAACCTTCTTGGTACATTTAGCCATGTTACCAGAACCTAAGCCCAAGCATCAAGAGCACCACGTAAACCAATTTTAACTGTAACTCGGAATTGCAGTTCTGTGGCAGTCATTTTTCATTTTTTAATATTTATTTGAAGGATTATAATATAAATACATTATTTCCCCCTTCCCTTCCCTCCCTTCAAGTCCTCCCATGTACTTTCCCCAGCTTACTTCCAAATCCATGGCCTCTTTTTCTTTGGGGTGTGTGTTCGTGTTCCTAACTACAGTGTTCTTGGTCTGTATAATGTTACTTATATCTATATTTTTTAGGGCTGACTATCTGGTATTAGGTGACCAGTTGGTGTGCTTTCCTTAGGGAAGACTATTTCTCCTGCTTCAGGTATTTGTTAGTTGCTTGTAGTTCTTTGTCTGGGGTTGAGGCCTCATGAGCTCAGCCCCCCACCCATGTTAGCATGTCTCTTGATGTCATCCTTGTTCAGCTCATGTATAGGCAGTCAAGTTGGTGAGACTTTATAGGTGTAGCTTCTGACATTTTTAGGAGACATAAGCTTACAATAAACTGCCTGGTCCTCTGACTCTCAGAATCTTTCCACTCCCTCCTCTGCAGTGATCCCTGAGCTTTAAGTGCAAGAGCTATGTTTGGATGTAGCAGTTGGTCCTGGGCTCCACAACTGCATTTTGATTGGCTGTGGGCTTCTGTAATGGTCTCTGTCTGTTGCACTTGTGGGTATGAGGACACATATTTAGGATGTAGTTAGGGATTGTGCTGGTTCAGTAAAGTGGCAGTTGCAGGTTCATCTCCAAGATCTCTTCTAGAGCTCATTTGCACTTGACTTGTCGATTAGTTGTATCTTTAAAAGGCAATGCCCTTTGAGAGCATTGTGAATTAAAATGTGTCCTGAGTTATTACCTGTACTTCCAGTTTTAACATTATATCCCATCGTATTTTTAAAATTCTTTCTTGGCTGGAATTGAAAACTCTTGAGTGAGTTTCTTGTTATTTTTACTCATAGGTCCTCCTCTCCAGGACAGCACCATTCTCCTCTGTCTTCTAGACATCATTCTTCATCCTCACAGTCAGGATCATCTATTCAGAGACATTCTCCTTCTCCTCGTCGGAAAAGAACTCCTTCCCCATCCTACCAGCGGACTTTAACTCCATCTTTACGACGCTCTGCCTCTCCTTATCCAACGCATTGTTTATCTTCTCCTCAGAGAAAGCAAAGTCCTCCAAGACATCGCTCTCCAATGCGAGAGAAAGGGAGGCATGATCATGAGCGGACTTCACAATCACATGATCGGCGTCATGAAAGGAGGGAAGGTATACTCCATATTTGTGGGTTTTGTTTTTCAAATCGTTCTTGACTTTAATAAAAATTGCACATCTGTATTTCTCATTACATAAGGACTAGAAGAGGACTGTGTTGTGTTGAATCTTCTGTAACATGCAGACTACAGCACTAGCAAATGCTTAAATGTAGAGAAATGTAAAATAGTATGTGTGCACAAGTGGGCAGGGCACTTAGAGGTATGTAAACTGGTGCCACCCTCTAAGATATTTTAATGAGTAGTTTTGGCTGTCTGAGTGTTAAAGTATCACTTATTGTTTCATAAAAAAAAAAAAAAAAAAAAAACAAGAAGAAAAATGAGCTGGGTACTTGGCTCAGTGGCAGAGCACTTGCCTAACGTTTGTGTGACTACAAGTTTCAGTCCCTAGCACCACAGAACAGACAGACAGACAGACAACCCAAGGAAGGTGAAAGAAAAGCAGAAAAATATTGATCCAAGTTTGAAAGCACTAGGAAAGTTTGATAAAGGAGAGAGGCCAGGGTAAACTCCCAGGTCAGTGCAGTTGACGCATGGATTTCCAGGTGTAGATCATAATGAAGAAGTGAGTAGTGGTTGGGAGTATGGCCCAGAAGTAGAGCTCTTCCCATGTGAGTCCTTGATTCCCCAGAAGCCAGTAAGATGAGTTTTCCTTTCTGGATCCCTGACAGTGAAGTTAAGGCTGGGTCTGCTCTCCCAGTTCAGGCCGAGATGCTGTGCACAGTAATAGCTCTCATCTCTCTGTGTGATCCACATGTGTACATGTTCATGTGTGTGCACATACATGTGCAGTTGGGTGTACATGTGTGCATGTGGAGGCCAGAGTGTGCATCTGTTAGTTATCTTCCTCTTATTACTTACCCTCCACCTTGTGCTGAGACCCCTCTCTTACAAAGTAGGCTAGACAGCCCCAGGGATCGTCCTGTCTTTTCCTCCCAGAACCAAGATTACAGGTGGGTGCCACCATACCGGGTTTAATTTGTTTTATTCTTATTCTCTCTTCTTCTGTTTAAAACATGAATTTTTTTCAATAAAATTTCAAGAACTCTATGTGAAATATATCTAGTTCCCTGCAACTGTAAACAGAGTTAGAGTTGTTTCCAAAACTGTCTTACAGAAACTCGAGGCAAAAGGGATAGAGAAAAGGATACCAGAGAAGAGCGAGAGTCTGAACACGACCACAGGGATGACAGAGAACTGCGAGACAGCCGGGACCGGAGAGACACTAGAGACCGCAGGGAACTGAGAGACTCCAGAGACATCCGCGACTCCAGAGAGATGAGGGATTATAGCAGAGATACCAAGGAGAGCCGTGACCTCAGAGATTCTCGATCTGCTCGGGATGTCCATGACTACAGGGAACGAGATGCTCGGGACGCTCGGGATGTGCGGGACGCTCGGGATGTGCGGGACACTCGAGATGTTCGGGATGCTCGGGATACCCGAGATGTTCGAGATTCCCGGGATGTTCGCGATGCCAGGGATGTCCGCGACGCCCGGGATGTCCGCGATGTTCGTGATGTGCGTGATGCTCGTGATGGTCATCGGAAGGAGGATGTGTACCAGGAAGAAACGCGCAGTTATGGCAGAAACCACCTGAGAGAAGAGAGTTCTCGAGTTGAGCTAAGGAATGACTCTAGAAGCGAGTCTCGAAGTGAAATCAGAAATGACCGGATGGGCAGAAGTAGGGGTAGAGGTCCAGAGCTGCCTGAAAAGGGTAAGGTTTTTGGCATACTAATGAATTGTACCTTGTATATGTATATAGAAAGCATTAAATATCTAAAGTTTCTTTTCTAAATATATTACATTTATTGTTGGTGTTTAATGAGAATATACAAATCAGTTGAATTGCATTTTGGAATTGTAAACTTGAGTTGGGTAAGTCATGCCCGCTGTACTGATTAATGTAGAGTTCAATGAAAATTGCTACAAGTGCAAGAGAATCACAAGAAAGTAATTTCTAATAAAATGGTGTGTACGTGATCAAATGATTATTCAAGTAGAGTTAAACTGATGTATTTTCAAAATTGATGTAAAAAATAATTGATTTATGTATTCTTCAGTATTTATACTTGCTTCAAACTATCACATATTTTTCTTAATCCAAATAACTGTGAGGTATCTTTGACTGTGTCCAGGCTGCTGAGATTTAATTAGTTTGACCTCTGTCCTCATCCCTTTCTTTAACCTCTTCCCAGGCACTGCACACTCACATCTCTTATGCCTCTCACTGGTTGCTGCTCTGGCCCTGTGGGGTTACAAGAGACTCACATTTAAATGTGAAGGTCTTTCAACTGCTTTATAGTTGTCTTGGCTATTGCTTTAGGAAATTTTCTATTTGTTTGTTTTGGTCTTTGTGTGACGCCTAGACTGGTGTTGAACTTGAGATCATCTTGGCCCCTGTTTTCCAGCATTGGAAGTATAGACATGTAGTACTATACCTAGCCTCTAGGCTTTTCTTTATCCTTTACTTTTTTCATGTAAATATTAGAAAACTTTGCAATTTCATGAAAAACTATTGAATTATATTTAGCATATTAATTTATACCTTTTCCCATTAAGATTTTATGCATTTAAAAAATTTTAAAAACTGTTCTGAAGGTTTCATAGGATATTATAATGAGATGAAACCTTCTGTGCACTGGTTTGCCAATGTTAACATCTTAACACAGTATCAAAACAGGAAATTAACAAGGCCACAAGCCTATGTGCATATGTGTGTCTGTCTGTGCGTGTGCGTCCTATCATGTGAGGAGTCATATTGCCTTCCCCTAACCAGGCTGATGATACTGTTGAAAGATTCCTGGGTGTTGCTCCTTGTAACCCTACCCATTTCTTCCCCATCTTGGACTCAGTTGTTTCATGAAATGTTTCATTAATGGAGCCATGCTGTATGAATCTTGTTGGCACTGGCTGTTTTCACTTAGCACAATCTTCTTGGGGTACATACAATTTATTGTCGTTCTTTTCTGGCCAAGTGGGATTGAATGGTAGATTTACCGTTATTTAATCCGTCACCACTGAGAGTGACATTCAAGTACCTTTTAGTTTGGTGACTGTTAGGAGTTTTGTTACTATGAACAATGAACATAATTTATTTTTCTCATATTTTACTTTGTTGGGTTTTGAGACTTGGGTCTCATTGTAGCCTCGGCTGGCTTTAATCTCTTGTTTTTCCTGTTGAGATTATAAGCTTGTTTAGGATTTTTCCAACCATGCCTGCTTCTCATAACCCTTCATGTTGTCAAATTACCTTGGATCTATATTGGAATGTCATCACAATAAACGTACAATTAAAGTAATAGTATATATCCCGTTTTTTAGTTTTTCATGTTGTAGCTGTATTAAATATGAAGAAATAGCTTTTATTTTTTGTTTTACTGTTTGAGGAATTAGTTTAAGTCAGTCTTTGTAGCTTTATGTTCCCATCAGGTGACTTCCTTATAGACACACAAACTGTGTCTTATGTTACTGTGGTGTCATCAGTCCTTAGAGAGCTTGGGTTCTACAGTTTTCTATATAGTCCATATAACTTTATTTTGCTTAACAGTGTCTATAACGTTTTAGAATACAAAAAAAGTTACAACTTTATACTGTTTTGAGGAAAGATTACGACTGATAAACTTGTTGGTTAAAGTGGCTCTGTTAAATATATTTGAACATCCTTTATTTAGGAAGTCGAGGAACAAGAGGTTCCCAAATGGATAGCCACAGTAGTAGCAGCAACTACCACGACAGCTGGGAAACTCGAAGTAGCTATCCTGAAAGAGACAGATACCCTGAGAGAGACACTCGAGATCAAGCAAGGGACTCTTCCTTTGAGAGAAGGCATGGAGAAAGAGACCGTCGGGACAACAGAGAGCGAGGTTTGTCAAACAGTGTTGTATCCTTTCGTGCTCAACAGCTGGGGAAAAATGGTTTTTTAAGTTGTATCAAGTCATTTTTTTTACCATGAAATATAGGTTAGGATCTATACTTGTTAACATATTTGAAGGTATTCACATAATCTTTGTGGAGTGCAGGATTATGTCAGTAGCTACCAGCATCTAATAAACAGATCTGAAGAGCTGAGGTTACCCTATTGCATGCGGTAGGCAGCTCTCTAAAGATTGTGGATTTTTGTGTGCCTTTACCAGTTAAACCCTTGCAGCTGAAGGTCCTGGCTACTCAATAATTACCTGTTGTCAGTAATTTTACAGAGTGTCAGAGATCAGCTAAGAAAATAAGAAAGAATGGAAGGAAGGGAGAGGGGGAAATTGATAAAGAGAGGGAAAATATGGTGAGGATTACCCAGAAAAACATGATGCTTACATTCTGTCCTGAGAATCCGCACTTGCTATAGCTATTTCTTTTGTACATCTCAAGTACAAGTTTCCTGATAATCTACTAAATGATCTTTTAATCAATTTTGTAGCCAGATTACTGGGAAGTACATAAGGATTAGATGCAGAACAGAGTCGCTATGATACCATCTACTTTATAGTTCTATTAAACATCAAGAAAAGATATTTATGCAGAGGTGTAAAGGCGAAAGAAGCAGCAGCTTTGCAAGATGATAAACATATTCTTTTGGGAATAAAGAGTAGGTACAAATTGCTGAGATGGGAGGTATTCTACCATGTCCCAGAGTATGAAAGAAAACTGGTGTGGCCATAGTATGGTGAACCGGGGGGGCGGGGGGGGGGGGGGGGGGAGATTGGTGTGGCTATAGTACAGTGAGCAAGGAGGAGATGGAGAGAGGCTAGGGATGGACCTTTTTCTCACTTCCACAATCTAAGCACAATACAGATAGCTGAGATGGAGTGATTGCCAGGACTCTGTAAAGTTCTGTTAGGCAAAGTGACAGTTTTGTGAAATATCAAGAAAGCTTCTTAAGTAAAGAGGTATTGCCTGCATTAGCCCAGAGAATGTGTCAGCTTGCTGGAAGAAATGGTGGGAAAGCGTAGATGGTTTGATGGCAGACATACAGGCCTGAGAGACTCATCTGCTCCCAAGTAGCAAGCATTAGGTTCTGAGGCTGGAGTGTGGTCTCCTGTAATTAGTGCAAAGCAGTTGGAGGAAAAGACTAAAGAGGGACAAAAGTACAGGCTGTAAACAACCTCTAGGTCATCAGATTTAATTACTTTTCACTGTCTACAAGTAACTGCTTTTAAGCATGTGGATCCGAGTTTTTATGAGAAACATATTATGCATTTAGCCTGAGAGCTGAAGGCAAAGATACAGACCACTTAGACTGTTCATGATGTCATCATCTGACAGAGCTGAAAATGTTCTGCATTAATAAAACAACTGTATCAGAGAGGCTGGAACGGAAAGAAGTGTTAGAATGCAATCAATGTACTTCTATAAACGGGACTGGGGCCTGCATGAAGAAAGCACAGCTTTGAAGAATACATTATTGGGAGAGATCAGAAGAAAGACAGTTTGGCATGTGACTATGGCATTTACAGGTCTTTTGTATTTTCCTTTAAGATGGGAAGTTTTGGTTGGGATCATAAACGTTTCATCTGCCATTAAAGTGACTGGACTTAGTTTCTGGTGCTATTGCACCAGAGGTCACTGATAGGAACCGCTGGGAAATTGCCATATTGTTTTGTTTTTTTTTTTTTGTTTTGTTTTGTTTTGTTTTGTTTTATCAGGTTATTTCATAATGGTGATTTTGGTTATACTTACAGAATCAGAAATTCCCCCTAACTATAGATGTGCTGGGAAAAAGTTATGATACAATAGGTCTATTTAAAGTTGTAATGGATTTCAGCAAAAGTAAAAAGGAGAAAAACAGACTGTGGTTCTAATACTTCTGATTGACTGGCAAAGTTGTCAGAATCACTTCCACACCATAGTTCCTAAGTTTTTAAAGAAGGAACAGTAAAGACTAAGTAGGATTTCAATTTGTTTGAACTTTAAAATTCTATGAACTTTTGAAAAGGACCTATAAACTCTCAAGGAGAAAATGTAGACAAATTTTGTCTTGTTTTCATTAGGGATAAGGCAAATTCAGGTCACTATACTGAACCTAGAAATATTCTAAAATTATCTACTTAATAGACATTCTTGTTGCCAGCCTGTTGAGTCTACTGTAGCATGATTTAGTGATAACCAACCAGTAGACATTATTATATATCTTGAAAGTAGTCTCCTGGAGTGCAGTGGCCTAGATCACATCTCTGTGGTTGCTGGTAAACTGGCTGTCTCTAGAGAAGAGCCTGTGCCATGCCCCAGTGCACATATTTTATCACAAACTAGTTTCCTATTGAGCAGCATGTGTCCATTTTCTCTGTTTGTGGGAGTTGCGTGAAGATTGGAGGAGGGAAATACTTAAGAGGCAATGAGTCAGTTATTTTAAGTGCATAATGTGGAATTTTGTAGATTTATCAGATAACCTGACAAAGGTTTTTGGACATCAGTACCCCTAATTCTAACTTATTAGAAGTTAATATTGCAGCCACAAGTTTTAAACATTGGTTTGTTTATTTTCTCACGTTATAGCTGTGCTTTAGTGTGTATATATTTGGGACTGAAATTAGAGGTGTGACTTACAAGGGAAATTTTTTTTCCTTCAGCTTCTATGTTCTACACCTCCTGCTGCCCCTATCCTTTGCCATCAATGTTCTCAGATCCTGCTGGGGGTACAGAGAAGATAAGAGGTGAAGCATAGAGATGGTAGAAAGCGGGATTAAAGTAGTGGGCTGCAGACAGGGTAGTGAGCATGCAGAGTAAAATCAAGGATGGATCAGTCCAGGGTGGGGCTTGGTGGGAAGCAGAAAGCAGGGTAGCTAGAGGGCAGTTGAACGTCATCTTTAAGAAAATAGTTTTTAAAGGTTCACATGGTTAATTTCAAAGTGCAGTACTTGATGTATAATTTGTTGCTACTGTCACCTGATGCTCTGTACTCAGATGAAATTTAAGACTTACCTATAGTTTACCTGACAAACCTATCACTGACAAACTTGATTTTTATTGTAGATCAAAGACCAAGCTCACCTATTCGACATCAGGGAAGGAGTGAGGAGCTTGAGCGTGATGAAAGAAGAGAGGAACGAAGAATAGACAGAGTGGATGAGAGAAGAGATGAAAGGATTAGAGACAGAGACAGGGATCGAGAGCGAGAAAGGGAGCGGGAGAGAGAGCGGGAACGAGATCGGGAGCGAGAAAAGGAAAGAGAAAGAGAACTAGAGAGAGAGAGAGCTAGAGAGCGGGAGAGAGAGAAAGAGAGGGAGAGGGAGCGAGAACGAGAGAGAGATCAGAGAGAACGTGACCATGATCGAGAGCGAGAAAGAGAGAGGGAACGTGAGCGGGAGAGAGAAAAAGAAAGGGAGCGAGAGCGAGAAGAGAGGGAGAGGGAGAGAGAACGGGAAAGGGAGCGTGAGAGAGAACGGGAGCGTGAGAGAGAGCGGGAGCGGGAGCGAGAAAGGGCCAGAGAAAGAGAAAAAGAACGAGAGCGGCAAAGAGAGTGGGAAGATAAAGACAAAGGACGTGATGACCGAAGGGAGAAGCGCGAGGATGTCCGAGAGGACAGGAACCCCAGAGACAACCACGAGGAGAGGAAGTCCAAGTAAGGAGGGTGGGCCCTTCAGTTCTGTAGAGTCCAGTGTTCTGGGTGTTCTGTTCTATGCTTTATGTCGCTCTTCCTCCTTGTACTGCAGAGTTGCTTCATGTGCGTTCATGCATATACCGTTCATGTCTAAAATGTTTGTAGTTGTCTAGAAAACTAGTTCTGAATTTTATTTATGGACTCCAGGGCTATATTTCTCCATAATTGTCTATTTCTGCTCTCTCCCTCACTCTACGTTAAGAATAATGAATGACTCCGGCGGTGGTAGCACATTGGTAGCCAGAGGCAGGCAGATCTCTGTGAGTTCAGTACATTGAGGGCTCCATAACAAACACAAAAAGTAATGAATGTAAACTTCAGACATTGTAAGGCAAATAAAATGTACATTTCTTTTTATTCTGTCTCCTAAGACTAAAATGTTTGTGTTTATCTTGGTTTGTCTATGGTTCCATGGTGTATTAATACTTTTTCATGTTTATATTGTATTACAGTATCATTTTTTCTTCTTTTTTTTTTTCATATCCAATCCAAAAGTTGAACCTAGAAACTTAGAA